CCCCAATCCCATTCAATAATGTTTTCTCTCACTCTGTGAAACCCAGTGATGAAACGGTTTTTCTTGAGTGGCCCAGGCCAAAGTTCATAAATAGTGTCCCTGTTCAAGAGAATAGAATTTATCGGAAGATGTGTCTGAATTCATATTATTAATGTTTGTGTTTGGTTTTTCTTTTGTAAGTTAATAGTGTTAACTTAAATTTATCTACCACAGTTAACTGTTTCTAGCAGACAGGGCAATTGTATAATAGCAATCAGATTACAGTGGGCTTACTCCTTTACTTGACCCCCACAAAATAGGACATGGAGGGCGTATGTGAGGAGCCGGGCAGTCATTTTCATCCAATCCACACAGACAAGGGTGGGTTAGCATAACATGGGGAGCAGCTGGATCTGGAGAATCAGGAAGACTGGCATATGGCGCCAGCGTGACTACTAACTAGTTATGTGGCCTCGGACAGGTCGCTCAACCTCTCTGGTTCTGTTTCCTCTTCTGTAAAATGAATTGGACTATCTGTTCTCTTAAATCCCTGGCAGACTTAGATTCTTCCCAAAGGGAGCCTAAGTGTTTATTTAAATGGCCACAGGAAGAATGGCTCTCAGTCACATCCAGGAGCACGGAAGTGAGGGCATAAGCCATCTGGTGTCACTTTTAGGCAACAAGATTGAAACCATCTGATATGAGTGTCATCCGTTCAAAACAGCCAGCAGGATCACGGAGCACAGATCACTCGGAGAGCAAGTGGGAGGGCGCGAAAGGCTCGGCTTTTAAAGCCAACGGGAAGCATGAAGAAGGGGTGAATGTGTGTTTGAAAATGCCTCAAGAGGACCACTAGCTAGAGTTGCATAATTTGAAAAGAAAAATCTTCTCTTCAGTTTTAGCCGATTAAAATTTAACCCGGTTGAGATCAGTAATGATAAACATTTGAAAAACTTGCTGAATCACATTTTCTACTGAATAAAATGTTTGCTCCTTTCGTGTGTGTAGCAGACTAATTTTTTTCTGGTTTTTTTTTTTTTTTTTTTTTTTT